CTTAATAAATTCAAAATTGATCTCTAAATTTAACCACTAGAAAGAAAAAGAAAAAGAGACTGAGGTTGCTTCTGATTTCTAGCCTTTAAGAATGATACTAAATACAGACAGAAACTGGAGAATTTCAGAAGGGAGACTATAGGGAGATTAACACATTTAATGTTGAGAATGTTTTTTGGCAGATCATGAGAACATATTCAAGAAAAAGTATTCTCAGGCTACCAGAAATGGGAATGCATAGAGCCCAGCAAATATTTGTTAAATGTCTCCTACACTATACGTTACTACCAATAGATTTATTTAATGGAAGTATAGTATAATAGTATTCATCAAATCAGTCTATACTCTTGTTAGGTTCCAGGTTCTTACTCTAAATGGATATTTACATAATAATGTGTAAAACAATGTTCTACCTAAGACAATTTTCCTATGACCTGGTTTTATTTGTAAGGTAAATGTCACATATTACTTCAACACACTTTCCTACGTTTTCAATCCTCTGCTTTTCTTTCAAAGATTATTTACCAAACCTCTATTACACAGAAAGTTCCCATGTACTAGAACAACAGAATATTTTTACTAATCTTGGAAGCTCCAAAACATGGCAGATAGAACCAGAGTTGTCTGTTTTACATATATCTTTTTAAAATTTCTGAATATAGATTACAAAACCAAATAGAAAAATATAAGAGAATATAGATTAAAAACCAGATAGAAAAATTAAAGAATTCTAAGGTACAAAATAAATTATTTTGCTTTAAAAAGTAAATTTATATTATTGATAAAAATGAATTCTGACAAAATAAGTCCTAATATTGTCTTTGAGTAGAAATTTTGAGTTTAACTATATTTGCTTCTTGGAACATAAACATTTTTGTTTTATAGATGAGGCCATAAACATATACAGGAATATTATTATTTGCTTTGAATCTTGTTAGTGAATAGACAAAAAATGATTTAAAAGCAGACGTAAGAGTTTTTATTTAATTTCCAAGTCCCCCAAAATATTTTATTCATGGTGTATAACAATCAGAATCAAGCAAAATTTAAGATTTGTGAAATTTAAATATATATGCAAAATTAATTTACTCATTTAAAATTCCATGAAAAAGATTCAGAAATGTTATAACATGTTATAAGGAGATAATCCATAAATATATAGCTTATAACAAAAATGAAACACAGTGCACATCTTTTAATAGTCATAAATTTAGAGTAAGATTATTCCTTGTCTGTGAATAGCTGTTAAATTTCCTTATATATCTATACTTTTTTACATATACAAAAATTACTTTTTTTAAAGTTCTTATTACGTATTTTTACAGTGGTTTATTCATATTCTAGAACATGATATAGATGTAAAGTAATCAAGTAGCCCAAATAACTATAAACATGTTAATAAAGGAAATTTTGCATCTAAATTTTGTTCTGTTGGCTCTCATACTAGTAGCTTTTCCTAGTTAATTCTTAATAGAAAACCACTAGGGGGTGACCAAGCATCATTTGTCTCTTTTCTTTTGCTCTAGCTGTTAATATTACATAGATTAAAATTGTATACAAGTTTTGTTTTGTTTTATATACAAGGGATCAAATTCATGACCTTGCAACTGAGCTAAATTCCCAGTGAAAAATTGTATACAAGTTTAACATAAAATAATTCATTAGTATTCTTGAAGAATTTCCACTGCTAAGAATATTTTAATAAAATTGAATTCAATTTAAATTTATCATCAATGTATTTTTAAATCTCCCATTTTGTTCAATTTAAAACATTTAATTAAATATCTGCAATCCTTTAAAAATCTGCATAAAAGTCAAACACTATGAATTATATTAGTATATTAGTCAGAGTTCTCCGGAGACACAAAACAAAAAGGATGTATATGTTGGAAGAGCCTTATTGTAAGGAATTGGCTCATGCAAGTATGGAAGCTGAAAATTGCACAACCTGTCTTCTGCAAGCTGGAGGCTCAGGAGTACAGGTGGCATATTTCAATTCAAGTCCAAAGGCCTAGGAAGCAAGAGACAAAATACAGAGGGAGAATATAGATGTCTCAACTCAAGCAGTCAGGTAGCACATGTTAATTTGTGAATTCCTCCTTCTTTCACCTTTTATTTTCTATGTAGCCCATCAATGGATTGGATGATGCACACTCACATTGGGGAGGGAAGTCTATCTAAGGGCATCCACTTACTTAAATGATCATCTTGTTTGGAAATAGCTTCAAAGAAACACCAAAAATAACGTTTACCCTCGTATCACTTCGCATAAAAAAGTTGACATAGGGTAAAGTGCCACAGAAGTGATGTCTTATTCTCTCAGGGATTAAGTACTCTAGAAATTAACTTTCAGTTTTTAAAACACAACACGTAGTTGTAAAAACAATGAGTCTTAGACTTTCTTAGTATTTGAAAATTGTGTGATAATGTAAAACTTACTGGCATACAGTTAAATTTTTGTGCTCTTCTATATTTCCTAAAATCTAACCTCAGAAATCTTTATTAACATATAGATAATCACAGTATAATTTTACAATCCATTTCTAAAATATAAAGGAAAAATTTTAACCCTTAGAGATCTGGTTTAGTACAAAAAGTATCTGATTTATTGGCCAGGGATGTAGCTCAGAAGCACAGCACTTGCCTAGCAAATGCAAGGTTGTAAGTTTGATTCCCAGTCCAAAAAAAAAAAAAAAAGGTTTATTAAGAAATTTTCAAAAATATAAATTATCAACTGACATTTCCAAAACAAGGAGTAACTATATAAAAAACTGTATTTTATTTACAAAAATGGAATGAGTGTTTTTAATATTTTGTTAGATTTAATCACTGACACTAGAAAGCAACGTAATTAGGACTCAAGTGTCAGTTCTCCCAACCTTCGGACTATGAAGTAAGCTAATATATACATAGCCAAGTCAATTCCTTCTTATTTTTGAGACACAGTACTTCTGTAGTCTGAGTACTCCGTTTTGAATCTGAGCTTTTTCTCTTACTAGTTATAATAAAATTTTTATTATAGTCTTTGAAATCTAACCTTTAAGACACAGTTATCCCCCAATTTGGAAAAATTGATACAAAGTTCTTATCACTAATGATCATTCAATGGATTAGCTAAGATAGTATGTATGATGAATAATAGAGCACTTTTGATAGAGAACTATTCAATAAATGTACAACTATTATTTAGGAAGAGTTTGGCATGTTGATGAGTAGATAGGACAAAATGATCATATTTACAGTATTTTTAGCTTTCAAATTAGCCCTTAGAGGTTATACAAATCATCACATTTCAAGAATTGTGATTAACTATAAATATTTATAGAATCATTAATAATAATCATACTGAATGTAAATCATTTAGGCCTTGCGACTATGCTGAAATCAATGAGAGATTAAAAGAAAATATAAAGGCCTGGCCTCCATCCTCAAAGGTGAGATCAGAGTGAATCTAAATAATTGTATACATAGAAAAGGAAGGAAAGGAAAAGAGAGGAAAAAAAATGGAGGTATGGCAGAAGCAGAACTATGTTTCCTCAAGCAATTCAATGAGGCCTTTAGATTATACTCTTATGTACTATATAATTGCACTACCTATTACAGGACTTTACTATAGTTTAATGTGTTTAAACTAAACTTTCACTAATCTGTTATACATGCAGAAACTTACGAAATGGCATTTAGGGTTAAGTTATCACATGGGGATCTTTACTACATAAAGACACCAAGCCTAAGGGTAAAGTTGATGATTCAGTGGGATGATGTCTCTAGAGTTAGATATGACCAATAAGTTATGAAACCTGTAATCTGGCAAAAACTAAACTTCCCATAGATGAATGTTCAGTTTAAATGAACTCCCAAAAGACAAATCGATCTCACATTGGTCAATTCTGTTCCAGAATTGTGTAAAAGTTGTGATGCTATGGCAGTTTTCAGCCAGACTTTACGGAACTACGAGGAAAAATGATCGTTATTCACTAGGAGCTCAAAAGTAATGTTGTAAGTTCCTTCTATTATTACTGAGGGAGAACTATAAAGTGGGAATATTCTTTATTGTAATTATATAATAGAGGAATTGCAAATTAACCAAATCATTTATAAAATGGCCATTTGTTTAGCACTTTGCTAGTACTTATCATGAATAATGTACTTAAGCTATATTGTTAGCTGGAATAACTGGAAATAGGAGATTCATATAGCTTTGTGCTGAAGAATGATACTGTTGAACATTGTAAATCAAGATTAATCAAGAGGCAGTTATAAGAGTTGGGTCATTTCAATGTCCTTTTAATGTTCATTTTGTTCAGTTCCTATCAGATATAGTCATAAATTACACTTACAATTTTTTCACTCTGCTATAAATCTGCAAGGCTGAGGACTCTTAAATGTCATAAATTTTAATGTTGAAGTCTAGCATTAATGATACTCTGTAGCTCGAGCTTAAATTTCTCAAATATGTAAGCATTTAGTAAAAACTTTGTAATTAAGTTTTGATCTTCAATTTAACTATCCTCTGAACTTTTCATTGTCATGCTTACTTTTCTGCCTTTGTTTAATATGATGGTAAACACTATGAACCTGGTTGGCTTGAGAAATATCTAGGAGACTCCTATAGGACACTTCTGGGTGGGTTATGACCTTTGGGACTATATCTGGTCCTCTCCCCATTCTTCTCTGGCTCATTGGCTTCTCTGTTTTCTAGGTGCCACGAGGTGGGCAGATTTCCTCCATCATGTCCTTCTGCCAAGATGATTTTTCCATGGAAAAATGTGGCCATGGTCTGAAATCATAAGCCAAAATAACCCCTTTCTCATTCAAATTGTGTATATTTGGGATCATATGAAAATGGTTGTATCATATAAGGTAGAAACACAAATTTGTTATTGTCTTTATTTGGAGATTAAATGTGGTTTAAGGAGATATTATTAGGTATCAGGTTGGCAAGGGGTGGACTTGGGGTGGTTAATCTTAACTTGTTCGACATAAGAAATGCCTAGGAAATGCTCACTTCAGCAGCACATATACTATAATCATAGTGATATAGAAAAGATCAGCATAACCCTTGTGAAAAGATGATACCCAAATTGTCGTAGTGTTCCATATTTCTTGGTGAAAAAAATAAACTGGGAAGGATCTGACAGGAAAAATGGATACTACAGAGAAGCTGGAAAAAATGAGCATGACACAGAAAAAGAGTAAAGCAATGTGGAAAACTAACCCTTACTCCTGGAGAAGAAGACTCGTCTCCGTTAATATGAAGAAAATCCAGAGAGGGTTGGCAGCTCTAGGAAGAAACAATAGACTGGGCAAGAAGTCATAGCCCCAAGAAAAGGACAAAGTTACTGTAACTTGCAAAAGCAGCATGTGTTTTGCTCTGCAAGTAACTAATGGATTTTGGGAAGGGGTTAATTGTTGAAGACTGAGATTCTGAGCAACTATTGAAAAACCACATTTCAGAGTTTCTAAGTCACTCTTGTGTCATAAGTTCATATATATATATATATATATATATATATATATATATATGAATTTATAAGATTAGCTTACAATGGCTGCCCAATACAAGTTTACAAGAGTGCAAAAGATCTGTCCGCACACTGAAGATCCAAAGGATCCTATTAAAGGCCCGCAGCACAGTATAGTGTCCTATAGGAATTTGTATCAGAGGCCAGTGTCTGTGATGGAGGCTGAAGGGTCTGTGACGGAAGCCAGAGGATGATTCAAGGTGAAGGCAAAGACTGCAGCACCTCCAAAGAAACAAAAGCTTGCCTTCCTTCTTCATTTTCTTTTTATACATTCTGGTGACGATCAGGAGGGGTCTTCCATACCCAGAACTACACTGAGCCAATTTAGTTGGGTGTTTCTTACTCAGGTTGACACAATAGTTAACTATTACCTCCTGTGTCACCCACCGCTTGGATGGTTTCCACAGCCTGCAGTATTTGAACATAGGTGCTTCTGCTACAGAGTGGGCACCTCACAAATCCACAGGCCACAAAATTAAAGAGAACAAGTCATGACTTTGGATAAATAGAGGGGCATGGAAATGAGGAGTAGTTGTAATGAGTACAAGAACAGAGTGAACACCATTGACTGACCATGCCCAATAGGAAAGGCAAAGCAGGAGTCAGGATTTATACATAAAAATATGAATGTGGAAACAAAATGAGCATTAGTAGTGATTCACCCCGCCCACCATATGAACAGACAGTAGAAAGAAACCACTCATTCAAAAATACAAAGGAATTTTCTATTTCTTCATTAGTTTTAGGAGATTTGGGGTTTTTTACCCCTTTTTTTCTGTTTTCCTTTGGTTCTTCTCTTTTTCTTTAGTTTCTTATCCCTTTCTTTTTCTTTGTTGTTTGTTACTTTTATCTAACTGTATTATCTTTTCCTCCTTGATAGGTCCACTTACCTTATTTTTCTCCTTTATCTTTTTTCTTTATTTTTTTAAACTTTACTTTTTTTGTTTCTTCCCTTCACCTTTCCTTTTTATCTTTACTAGTACTACGATTAAAATTAATTAATCTTTGGATAGTTAGTTGACTGTATGCTATTATTGTTCAATTGTTCTCTATTGTTAATGGTAATATAATTACTGCATTTAGTAGGTATTTACCATATGTCAATATTTGGTTTGTCTTTGCATCTGTATTATAATCACGGAACTTTTTTCTATTGTTAAGAACAGTGATTATTTTCAATGGTTCTTATAGTATGTAAATATTCAGTTTGTGTTTGACTTCATTATTGTTGCTAATTGTGTCACTATAGCTAGGGTGGCATAGCTGTTGCTATGAAGTGGTTTTTACTGTATGCCAATATCTGGTTTGTCTTTGTGTTATCAACAATACTATGGTTAATTTCTAGATAACTGGGTACCAGCTCAATTACACTGCACTCTTCCCTCCCCAAATTAATAGAAGTAGCAGCATATTGGCACAGAGGAAAAAGCCTATACTTAGACACACAAAGAGTACGTCAAGTGAAAATCAGACATATGCAAATCAATAAATGTAATATGTCACATAAATAGAAGGAAAAAACCACACAATCATTCCCATAGACACAGCAGTAGCCTTTGACAAAACTCAGAATCCATTTGTGATTAAAAAATCCTGAAGAAAACAGGTACAGAAGGATCTTATGTCAATTTAACAAGAGCCATTTATGACAAGACTATTGTCTGTATCAAATTAAATGGGGGGAAAACTGAAAGCCTTTTCTCTAAATTTAGGAAGAAGACTATGCCCACTATTGCCATTCTTATTAAATTTGCTATTTGAAACTTAAGCCAAAGCAGTTAAATACAAAAGAAGTATAGGAAAGTAGAGGTCAGTTATCCTTATTTGCAGATGACATAATCCTTTATATAGAAGACCCAAAAAATTATACCAGAATGCTCCTGCAATCAAGTTCAATAAGGTGACAAGATATAAAATCAACACACAAAAATTAATAGCATTCTTGTACACCTAGAATAAGCCTATCAAGAAAGATATTAGGAAAACAATATCACTCACAATAGCTCGAAGAAAAAATAAATACTTGGTAATTAATCTAATAAGGGAAATGAAAGACTTCTATAATGAAAAATATAGTGCTTTGAAAAAGGAGATTGAAAATCACACCAGAAAAACGCAAAATATCTCCCAGTCCTGGGTAAGCAGAACCAACACTGTCAAAATGACCATATTTCCAAAACTGCCATGCAGATTTAATGAAATCCCCATCAAAATAACAACAGCATTCCTCACGAAACTAGAGAAAGCAATGTTAAAACTCATATAGAAGAAGAGATTCAGAATAGCAAAAACAATCCTAGGTAACAAGATAAAAACCAGATGCATCACAATTCCAGCCTTCAAGTTATATTACAAAGCTACAGTGATAACAGCATGGTACTCACAAAAAAATCAGACTTGTGGATCAACAGAATTGAATACAAGATATAGAAACAACCCCAGTCACATGCATCACACTTGCATACAGGACACAAAATCAACCTTAGGCATATCTGATTTTTAATAAAGGGACCAAAGCGTATGTTGGTGAAAAGACAGCCTCTCTAACAAATGATGTGGGAAAACTAGCTAGCTATGCACAAGAATATGATTGAATCTAGATCTGTATTTCCTAGTATGTATTAAACTAAAAATCAAAATGGAACAAAGATCTAAATATTACAATAGAAACACTTAATCTTATGGAAGATAAAATAGGTAAAGGTCTTGAAGACATAGCCCTAGGCAAAGATTTTGCAACCAGAACCCAAAATTGCACAAGAAATAACATTAAGAATCAACAAATGGGATTAAACCAAATTAAAACCTGCTGTACAGCAACGGAAACAACTAACAGAGTAAAGTGAAAATAGAATCTATAGAATGATAAAAAAAATTTTCAAACTACTCCTTGAACAGAAAAATACTATCTAGAATATTAAAGAACTCAAAAAATCACCCCCCCAATAAAAGACTCAATTTAAAAAATGGACAAGTGAAATGTATAGATATTTCTACAAAGAAGTACTAATGGCCAATAAGTACATGTTAAAATGTTCAACATCTCTAGCTATTTGAAAAATATAAATTAAAACAACACCAAGAGTCCATCATATTGCAGAAAAAAATGGCTACCACCAAAATATCAAATAGTAACAAATGCTAGTAAGGCTGCAGGAAAATAGATCTTTTTAAAAATTGTTCCTGTGAATGTAAACTTTTACAAATATTTTGGAAATCAATATAGAGATTTTTCAAAAAAACTAAAATTAGAAATTCCATTTGACCCACCTATTCTCTTTCTAGGTATCTTCCTAAAAGAATTAAAAGTCATTATATTACAATAATACATACACACACATGCTTATAATATCACCACTCATAACAGGCATACTTTTGAAGTGGCCTATGTTTATCAACAGATGAACGAGTAAAGTAAATGTACTGATAGACAATGTAATACTACTCTGCTATAAAAGATAAATGTGAATCATTTGGAGGAAAGTGGACTTATCTTGAGATAAGGTATCTTCCCCAAAGGTATGTTAGGTATCTTCCCCAAAGAATTTAAGTCATCATACTACAGTGATACTTACATATCAATATTTACAGTAGCATGATTCGTAACAGCTAAATCTTGGTAGCAGCCTGCATATTCATCAACAGATGATTGGATAAAGAAAATGTGGTACCTACATATAATGGAATACTACTCAATATACTATACAAAGTGACAAATTTGAGAAGTGTATGAAAACAGATACATCTGGAGAATATAGTGTTGAGTGAAATAAACCATACATATGAGCTTTAATAATGTGTGATATGTCTCATTTCAGTCAGACAAAGTACAAACAAATATGGGGTGGACAGAAAGGGCTAATGGACAGGAAGACAGATCGCTAGCAGTAAAGAAGTGGTCCAAGGGAACAAGGGCAAGGTGAGGAGGAGGAGGGTTAACAGGAAATAAGAATAAAGATAAGCCATGCACAGAAACCTAATAACTCTGATTAATGTAAACACTTTGCATCACATCACAAGCTAGGCCAAATAATATCAACAAATATGAAAAAGGGGATAGAAGAATCTGTGGGGGATGGGAGAGGAGAAGCAAAGGGACAGGAATAAAAAAAAAGAAACTAGCTATAATGTGCATGCAACCACTTCCAGGATAACTGTCAACAGCATGAATTGCACACGTGTATTAATAAAAAATAAATTTATAATTTTTTAAATTAAATTTCTAGACAATTACTGAAGCACACTTATGACTCTTACTGGTGTTTGTCCCCTTTCTCTTTAGTTCTTTGGGTGTTGTTTGCTTTCTGAGTGCCTTCTGCTAAAATAAACCATTCCTCCTTTAAACTGCAAGTGACATGCATTGTGGTCCAGCAACAGAAAACAATACACTTATCTTATGATCAATCCTCTAATTAAAGTGCCTATCATAATACATGACTTTCATGAACAAAATATAAAATCTAACTTCTACCAGAAACTACCCCACTGTTATGCATAAATTTTAATATTGAGGGAAGCAAAGGATAATTCAAATGGCTTGCTTTTGCTTCAATATATGAATACTTCATCAATTCTTCTTTTA